ATTTTTTTAATTCAATATAAAACTAATTAATTTGGGGGTTTTAATTCTTTTTTGGTAATCATTAAAATAAATCACAAAATAGTATTTGATTTACATGTTTAATAAAGAATTAAAAATATATTAAAATGTAAGTAAACAAACGACAAGTTATACTTCAATTGAAACTTCTTCGCAAATTTCATCGCCTTCTTCACTGCTTTCGGACGATAGATCGCACTCTAAAGCATCAACAACTTTTCTTCTTCCTTTAATTACACTCCTTTCTCTGACGACATCCAATCCGAATTCTCCCATGATAAGTGGTGATCTTTCAGGAAAAATAACCCTTATTTGGTTACCAACACCACGTTTTTTCTTTTGTGTGTAGAAAAAACCACATTTTCTAAAAGCACCGTTAATCGTTAAACCAAATGTTGCTCTATCCCATGAGGCGTAAATAGAAACAATTTGTTTGGATAATGGTGACATAGCAAAATCTTCCAACTCATTTTTTTGTTAGCGTGCCTTGATAAAGTGTCCTAATAATTTCCTTTTTCTTTCCTCTGGCTTTATCGGCATTTTCTAGCCCTAGTATTTCCAACACTTCTTCAACTGATTCTTTTGTAAGAATTTTTTCCCCTTATCTTTATATGGTATTTTTATTAGCTTCTTTGTATTAGTTATATAGTTTTATTTTTATATTAATTATTATTGAATTGTTATATTTTTATTATTAATTATAATAACAAACCTTTGTTGGGCCGAATATAGCAACGTCAAGAGGTTGTGTTAAATGAGAAGAATGTGGGCACAGTTTTAACACGGCTATTTTGTTATCTTTGAAAAGTTTAAGAGCCTCATTAGTTAAATGGCACTTCAACCCATCCATTACAATGACCGCCCACTCGTTACGCAACTCTGGAGTTGAACGCCTGTTTTTCAAGTCTGGTAACAACACTTTTGTTATCCAATATATAAATATTGAAGATGTCATAAATGCTGTTTTCTGATTGACAATAACAATGTCCCGTAAAAGTAAATACTCTTCTATGTCGTTGTTTACAGTGTGTCTTGTAACGATTAAAAATGTTTTTGTTTTGGTGTTGTTGGCCCATATCCCAGCCACGGGAGTTATACGTTTAACACTTCTGTTGACTGAGTAATATTGGTCATGTGGAAGGTTCGGGTTGCAGTAACAGTATGTTTTCTTAGAATTAACATAATGTATGAACCCACTTTCATCGACATTAAGGAGCAGAGCAGGGTCAACTCCTGCCAAACGCACTGTGTTTCCACAATACTGTCTGTTGTTGTTACGCATTATTTTCCGTCTTTGATGTATTTGTTTAACTCTTCGTGATCAATTTCAGCTCTCATTTTATCAAGTGGATTTACCACAACTGGTTTAATATTTGTGTTGTGCCTCAACCAGTCCATGGTTTTTTAAAACTAAGTGGATTCCCTACAGCTTCTTCAACAATCATTTTTACGTCGTTTGAAAACAATGGTTTTCTGGTGTTTTGTTTATCTTCTATAAGTTGTATTACCCGAGACTTTCGAATTTCATTCAAAAGTGGGGGTCTTCCTGGATGAGCAACAGAGTGTTTTTTTGTATAAAGCCTTGCACGTGTTGTAGTTTGCATTTAGTACTTTGGAAATAGAAGCAAGTGTGGCTGTGGGACATTTCTCCTTTATAAAGTGCAATTGCTCCCATAAACCTGGGAGCTCTTTGATTGTATCTTCGTTTTGACTACAAAACGAAATAAGTTGGGCATCTTTGAGTGGTGCATTTAATAAGTTCAGTGTTTTCTCCGCTTTTGAGCGTTCACACATTGTTTTTAGTTTTCAGTTTTGTTTTTTAAAAAAATTACCATTTGGTTTATAAAATCAAAAAATTCAAAGATGAATTTACGATCTATGGCGTTATCAATAAATAAAACGAATATCCATTATACTCTCCTAACAATTAAAAACTGTTTAATTATATCAATCCGTGTTTGTAATGAAAAATGCAAAAAAATATGCTCCAAAAAACATAAATCTAAAACCGTTTTTTGTTTATATATACATATGTTGCAAATATTGATATTAATGGTTGCAATACACGTGATAGAAAAC